ATAAATATTTAGTAACTTGTAAATTTAATTTATAAACAGAACATTTTTATTAAAAAATAATAAATAAATAAACAAACACGTTAAAATTAATAAACTTCTTCTAAAAACAAATTCTATCGAATACATAATTTGGTTTGCTGTGTGTAAATTTGTTATTTAAATTTTAAAAATTAATAATAAAATATAAATAAATTTCTATAAAAAAAAAGTAAAATATTCATTAAAAATTTGACAAAGTATATTTATTTAAAAAATTATTTTAAAGATAAACACGGCATCTCAATCCATTAAATGTTTTATTATTATTATTATTATTAAATATATATTTTACTTCTTTGCCATTATCGCTTTATATAAAAAAAAGAAAGTTCTTTCTTGTTATTGTCAAAAGGCATTTTTATTACCAGGATAAAGCTGAAACAACTCGTTAATCCTACACAAGTAACCTTTTGCCTATTAATTTACTTACTGGTTTTTTTACATTTTAGGTACGATAGAATTCATTTTAGAAGAGAAGAATACGTAAATAAACTAACTACAATTTTCCAAACTAGAAGATGTTATCGGCTTGTACAGGAAGCTTTTAATAATTTGTTTTCAAAAGATTAATAATATTCCTCCCTCTTTTTTTGCATAATTATCTTCATTTTTTTTAAATTAAATCTCCAAAAATTAATTTATTTTTACGTCAATTTAATTCGTTTCCATGTTCTTTTTTAAATATATAAATATATTATTTAATTATGTATTAAGAGAATTAAAATGTATAATGGTCTTATATAATTGCAGTTATTTTTTACTGGACGAATCAGAGAGGGGCTTAAGTCCTCCGCATCAATCAAAAAATAAAATTTCGAACTTCTAAACGTTTTTAATTATATAATAAGTAAATTAAGTTATATATTAAAAAAAAGTAATATAGAAAAAATTAATTATAATTTTAGTCAATAGATGGCGACATTAACGAACATTAGAATTAAAGTCGGTGAAAGGAAATTCGGTGTTACTTTTGTTTGTTTCTTTTATTGGTTTTTAGACGTAAAATAACCTTATTTTGAATATTTTATAGCATTTTCGGGTGAGAAAATTCGAATTTTTATGATTTTGTCAGAAGAAACACGAACGTTTTTCCTGTCCCACACGAAAGTAACAATGAACTCTCCCTAAATTCGCGTGTTTTGATACGAGATGAAAATCTATACGAGAATTGGGTCATTTTTCAAAAATTGTCCCGAATAATCTTTCTGTTTTCTGAGAAGCTTACAAATACGGTCGAATGATTTGTTGAACCGGAACGTTAAAAATGGACTTTGTTGACGGATCGCATGCAACAAAACTTTGTCGGTATTCTTTCATTCCACTCGGCCGTAACTCGAATGTACAGGTACGAGTAGGTTAGTTAGTAGTACCTGTTCCTTTGTAAGGCGAACGGGTCCTACCTACCTACGTAACGAGTTCTGGCCGTCGTCGAGATGTTTGGATAGAAGAAACACACCCCAAAAAACGTGAGTTTTTATATAAATACAACACTTTTTTAACAATTAAATCGGTGCGGGGTGCATCGGACAATCGGGTTACTCGACATTAATTTACACGCGAATTCTTTTAGTATTTTTACCAAATTTACTGGGATTCTTGCAGGGCCTCGTAGGCGATGCGTCGATCGAGATGTCGTCGACGTTTACGTTTAACGTCACTGATCGTCGCCGTCCCGATCGTCGTCGTCGTTACGGTCATGGTTACGACGATGAAAGGTAACCGCGGAGACGATCCTCGAGTGGACGAAGACGTGATGATCGTGCTGAGAAATGATAAGAGACAAAAAGAATACATAGACAAGCGTGGCATTCACGTCATCGTGGGGCACTACTTAGGAAATTCCCTACCTTGGGAAATTACGCCCAATTTGACAAAAGGTAAATTATCGTCGTCGTCTGTAGGCACCATCTAAATTATAAATTTAAGTATATATATATATATATTTAATTTAGAAATGTTAAACGCAAATAATTACAACCCCATTTGGTCGTTCGGTAGCCGAGGGCAACCCGTTTATTTACCTCAGGTGGATAAACAGAGAGAGAAAACACTTTTTCACATTAATAGATTTAATTTAATGGTCAGCGATGCCATACCCGTTAACAGGACTCTACCGGACGTTCGGAAAGTCAGGTAAGAATCTGGAAATTCCCATTACAATTCCGACACTTTCTAACTTTTACTAAACTCGAGGTGACCCAAAAATCGGCCGGCCTTCGAAAGACAATTATATCGAAATCATAATTAACCATAACTTTTTTTAAATGTGGCATTTCCGGCTGTATATGGAGCGATCAAAAGACGGCTGACTTCTGGACCGTGGCGTAAATTAATTTGGAAATTAATTGCAAATCTCCTTAAGTTTCTATTAATTTAACCACAATCTTAATCGACAAAAGAACCAAAGAAAGATTTTAGTTGCAGAGAGAAGAGATATTCGGGTTTGGAATCCCAAGACGTTACCATCGTCATAGTCTTTCATAACGAAGCATGGTCGACCCTCCTGCGAACGGTGCACAGCATCATCAGCAGATCTCCGAAGAGGCTGCTGAGAGAAATCATTTTAGTGGACGACGCCAGCGAAAGGAGTAAGTGTAACGCGTCCGAAGATCTGTCGCCCGGTGTCATTTTTTATTTAAATTACCGCAGGTTTTCTCAANTTTGACGTAAAAAATATCATTTGGCGCTTTGACTGCTTTTTCGGCTACATATTATTTATAATTATATTAATTGAATAAAAACGCATTTTAAAATGGCGTTTCGTCGCTTTTTATTAATTAGAGACCCAAATAAAACAAATATTTGTGTTTTTCAAATAAATTTTCGTTTGTTTCTTTTATAATAAATGAATTTATCTATTTCTAAGTAAAAATTGAAGGTGTCTGTAAAAGTAATTTTTTAAAATATCCTTTTTCTTGATAAAGTTTTAATACTTATTATTATAATCTAGACATGCTAATTTTTAAATATACTTGTATATTGGGCCACAAGTATATATTATATATTCTTGTGGCCCAAAACTCCTTGACTTCTTCCAATGCGGCTCAGAGAAACAAAAAGGTTGGACACCCCTGCTGTATATTATTTCTGTTGTATTTTTAATTTTCCTAAGGTCAAAATATAATGTTAAGATAACATGTAGTGAAGATTTTGTTAGTGTTACTTTAATTTTTTTTTATTTCTAAATATGAAACAATTTTACCTTTTATATAACATGTCATCAGGAGAAGGTGGCTCTTCAGGTCCAAGATTTCTATCATCATATGTGTCATCATATTCATCTTCATATAAAGTGTCATCTGTTTCTTCTATGACATCATATTTTTGATATATTTCTCTTAAAGCTGAGGCATTTTTATCTTGTTTTAGAACAATGTTTATATCTAAAAGTTTATCTTCTCTGTAACAATAATTATAATTAACAAACATATGAGTAAGTAAAATCAGGAAATTAAGATTTTTTGAATTTCAGTTTTTTAGATTATTTAATTAATAAAATAATTTTAAAATAAAACAGAATAATAATTATTTTTTTTTTGTAGAACTTACCGTTTGCCTTTATGAATTCTACTTTTATCTATTTTATCAGTTGAAAATACATCAAATTCATCATTATCATATATATTTTTACGACTGGAAAGAATGGACGACTTCCGAGTACTTTAAAATAAAAAGACTTTAAACTTTATTGATGTTTTAAAATACTTTCCACAAAGTCTCAAATAAATATCTAAATACCTTTTCATTGATCTATCCAATTTGTTTAAACTGCTAGGAAGAGTATCATCAAGTAATGCACTAATCACTTTTTCTGCATCATAATTGTAGTATTCTAAACATTGCTGCAAATGTTTTTAATAAACAAATATGACTTATTTATATTAATTTATTATGCATAGTGATGCTGTGCAAAATGACAGTGTGCCAGAGAGACACAAATATACAGTAACTGCACTGTGGATAATTAATAAATACAATGGTAATGGTAAGTCAATTATTCACAGTGCAGGTCAATTTGTGCTTCTATGGCAACACTGTCATTTTGCACAGCATTGATGCTGCTAGGTTATGTCAATTATCACTGCCATTAATCATGGTTATTCTCTTTGTGTACATCAAAGAAGAGCAATAACCAATAAGCTGTTTTTGTGGTCAGAAGGTGTATCAAGGACTGCACTCCAAAGACTTTCAATTTCAAGGCTAAAATTTGCAAATTGAAAGCAAACACTGAGGACTAGTGTTGAAAGGTATGGCATTGATGAATGCCAATGGCCATCTACATACTGCTGCTCACATTGCTGACACCTCTGGAAACTCAAGTTTGAAACAATGACTCATCTACATGATTCTACAGAAGGATGCTTCTGTAGAATCCCAATCTCATCACTTTGGACTATAACATGTTTAGTTCACTCAAAGAGGCATTAAAGGCTATCTATTCATTTAGGACCAAGAAGTGAAGGAAGTGATGAATATGTGGTTTATTGCTCAGCCAAAAATGTTCTATTCTGAGGGCATAAAGAAGCTTGCATAACAATGAACCAAGTGCATGGAAAAGGAAGCAAACCATGTAGCAAAATGATGTTAATGCAAGTTTTCTGTTTGTTTTGAAATAAAGTTTATGGACAAGGATCCAGTCAGAGAACTGGAATAGACCTTTGATATAAAGTGTGNACGTTTTGATACGATGTACAGAATCTGTGGTGACTCGTACTCAGAATTGTATTGATGCTGCAGGTCACCAATTTGAACAGTATTAACATTTGTTATTTATGTTTCATTTACATTGGACTTTCAGCTTTCTATTTTCCTGAAATTTAACTTTGTAGAACGGTAAATAAATTTTCTATGGAAGTTCAAAGTGTGTATACATTTTTTTGAAGCACCCTGTATAAATACCCGAAAATCGTCACATTTCTTCCCCCATTAAAAAAGAAAAACAGATACGGGAGCGCTGGGAACAGAAGAATCCTCACGAAATTTTTGCTAAGCCGTAAAAGCGAAAGCCAAGCGAATCATTTAACCACGGAATCGGTAAGTTTTTCTGTGGGAAGTTCAACCGATCGGAAGAAAAGGAGTTTTCATTCTTTTGAGCTGAAATACGAAGGTTTTATTTCGATTTTGACAGTGTTTTTTTCCCCAATTAATTGGAGCACAGAAGCGCGTTTGTTACGCGCGGAGGTCCGTCCGAAGGCGCTCGACACTGGGTCCGCGATTCGTTTCGATAAATTACTTTATTTAAATGACGTTTCGGTCTCGTTGCCTTACGACGTAATTAGATTAATAATGTAAATGGGAGTTAATACGTTACGAGCGTTGGGTAACCGATAGATATGCTTTGTAATATCGCGTCGGAGCCGGTGACATTTTTCTAAAGCGAAAGGACTTATAAAATAACGCCACGGTTCTACGCAGATACGAAATAAGAAAAGCGGAAAGTGTCTTCAAAAACCCAATGCGAAAAACGCCGTTCAGCAACCGGTGGGAAAAGCCCAACTGGGAGAATGCGTTTTCGAGACTTACTCCAAACAGGCAAGTTACCTCCATTCTATATGCTTTTTTCTAATACAGTAATTACTCGCCTCCGAAAACCTGTCTTTCCGGCAACATTCGTTATTCTCAAACGTTTTCGGCCTTTGCGCGTACGTCGAATGGTCGAGTTTAAAAAAAAAGAGTTAAATAAGACAGAATAGACGAAATACCTTTTTATTCGGCAGTAAATACATACGTAGGCTAAGCCAACGCGTCGGGCCCGGGGAAGGCGAAATAGCGAATGCACCGCGTCCAAAACTGTAGAAAAACTAACCGCCTACGGGCTCTCTCGAAGAAACGTATGCCCGTCGATGGTAATCTTTTCGGCCGCATTATCGTATGTAAAATGTACATTTATATTATTTTATTCCGCTATTTATCATTTTCACGTATTCGTCCCGATTGTATTCCATTATTTAGTCGTTCGTAATAGTTAATTATTAAGCAAAAACAATTTATTTCAACCGTTACGAGTAAGTTTTAAATCGGCCATTCCACGTATCCGACGGTCGAAAACGTCCGAAAACTAAAGAATAGAACCAGGAAAGGCTCTTTTTCGGACAGTTTTTTTTATTAATTTCGTAAACCAGGTTTTAAAATTGTAGTAGAATAACTATTTAGAAAATTACCATTTTTTTGTAAACCTCTTTACCGCTTATTATCGGTATCCTAAACTACGCGCCATACGACTCTTAAGTACTTTCGGGTTGACGAGCCGTCGGACGATACGTTTTCCAGTTACAGATCTTTTGTTAAAATACACAAATTCCGTCGATATTTGTCCGCACTTTTCGCTTCGTTCTTTCCTCCGCCCAATAGGGGAGCCTTTAACGTCGATCTTTCCTTCTAAATCCGTAAAATTTCTCCACTGGCCCACGATTCCGTAGAATTATTGCCCTTTTCGCGTTCTCCTCTGTCTGGATCGTCGTCGTCTTCCCCTCGACGCTCGGTGTAGGTAGGGAAGCGGTTTTCTTGGGCGTACGAACTTCGTAGAGCCGCTTTCCGCTCTTCGAGTTCCCCCCCCCACTCCCAGGCCTGGAAACGGTAGGGGAAGGAAAGTTTTGTTTAAGGCAAAGCGATTCTTCGGCCATCCGCCCGGGGATGCCTTCCGGAAGGACTGGGAAATTGGCCCCTATTTAGGTGTTACAAAAGCCAAGAGAACCCGGAAAACTCCCAGTTGCCGGTCCGTTGACCGGGCGTCAATCCGCGACCGACTACAGGTATTCGGTGATTTTATCCGCTCGGTCGGACAAATCGAGATAAATAACGACGGAAGTTTGCATTTTTAGTCGGAACGACGAATCGTCCGAGTAAAACCGTCGAAATGGGAGGTGTAATTTCCAGAAAGGTTCCGACGGCCCGAAAGTACTTACCGGTTGGCAGGTGGTTCGGATACCGGTAAAAAAAGTAATTTATTAATTAACCAAGGAGCTATTTGTTTTCAGTACGTGTCGTACACCAAAGACGGATACGTCATGATGGACGAATCGGTGTGTCTAGATTCTCCGGAAGAGAGAAAAGACGCGACCGTAATGATCCTAGCGTGTAACGAATTTGCCAGACAGAAGTGGAAATACGACGTAAAGGTAATTACGCGGTTAACCTAACCGTCTTTTAGCGGCACCGGGGTAACGTTTATCCGTTTCAGACGTCTCGGTTCGTGCACGCCAACAGTAAACTCTGCCTGGACCTCAACGCCGACGCTCTCGTCCTCCGACCGTGTACCGAGAAAAGCGGGCAGAAATGGCTTTTGGAGCCCGTCGAGTGGAAGTCCTAGTCTCTGTTCCTCCGAGCCGTTTTGTATTCGTAAATAAAGACCATCAAACTTTATAAATAATTTATTTCCACTTTTTAAACAACGATACGAACTAATTTCTGCCGTATAAAAATAGAATTCTTGCTTTTCCTGGGTTTATAAATTAATGCTTCGAAAAAATTAAAATTATTAAAAAAAAAAGTAACGATTAAGTCGAAAGAAAACTGTCGAAATTTCGATGGCACTTTCGTCGGGAATCTGTACCGTACGGAAACGAACGTTAATGGTATCTATTTTATTTTTCTAAATAAAGGTAAATTTAAGGAAGGAAAATAATTACTTTTCTAAAGACTATGTAGGAAACATTCCTCTCTGCCGCTTTTTATCGCTTTGAAATCTGCGATTGTGATTGGCCACGCTACTTTTGTGTTTCTCCTTGTACTCCCTATTCCGTAACGTCGTTTTGTCTTGGCCCTGGCCGCGAGGTTTTCCTGTTAATGAGAAAAATTAAATTTTTTTACGTGTCGAGGGGTTCGAATATCAGTTTACAACGTCTGTTAACAGCCAAAACGTACGAAATTCGATACCCTCGTCGAAGCAAACGTGCTATACTATCGTTGTTGGATGGATAATTAAGGAATGTTTTCGGCTCCGTACTGGAGAACCTTTTTCACCTATTTTTAATTGTTTTATATTCTGAAGAGTACGCGAGCGACGGACGATTACTCGTCACCGTCTCTATACGAATAATCGGAAAAGGAAGCTTCTTTCAATTTTATTTCGTTATTTAGTTTAGACCAGAGTAATAAACGCCCATTCCCGATAGTCTGTTGTATTTTCTCCGGATAGTTTTTATGTTTAGCCCGCGTATTATCAGTCGACCAGGATTAATAACTGCATCCTTTCTCCCCTTTGTATATTTCCCACAAATACAAACCTCCCGCGTCTCCTATACGAAAAAGCATTTACCAGGAAACACAGGCAATCGCTCGTAATTCCAATCTCGGAGGATACCTTAGGAAAATGTCTATAACCAAACTTTTGATATTCGTACCAAATAACTCTAGAGCTTTAGAAAAAGTATTGCTACATTTATGGATATTACATGTACTTTATAGAAAGTTGCACGAATTTCTGTGGGTGTAAAGATGCTGTTGCTTCTGATATGTGGAGTGTTTGCCTATGGATGTAGGAGTGTAACTTAAATATCTCCTTCGGTTTTCACCTGTTTTCACATTTTTATACCTGCAAACAATACTACCATGTTGTAAATTCCAGTCTCCTGCAACTCTGTGGCATATTGAGAAATAAAGTTCTGATATGGTGATTCCAGTAAGATGAGACAAAAAGGAGTTTGTACCAAATTGGAAAGACAAAGAAGTGTTGATGAAAGTTAAGATATTTATGATGAATCTGATTGAAAGATTTAGAGAGATCACAATACATGTACTTTCTAACAGTTAGGCATTTAAGTGATATAGTTGATAAGATTAAAACAGCAATGCTTTGCATATTATGGTACAAAAAAAGTTTGCTTAATCTTCTGTACACATTTAAGTGAGCAATGGGTAATTACGTAAGTCTTTCTTACAAAAACAAATGTATGAATGCTTAAATTTTTTCTAAATAATCCACTTACTGATGATGATCATTTATTTTTACATCAGCATTCCTGAAGTAATTTAAACTTAATTCTAAAATTGCTTTACATCCCATTATGGAGCAAAAACATTCCTTAGATAAAGAATATCTACTGGATACTAAACTAAATGTTATGTATGTATTTTTATTCAAGTTTTACCTTTAACATCGTGATGTCTCCTCATTTCCTGAATTCTTTCTTCTTCTTTCTTCCGCAATTCTGCTGGATTTGCAACAAATTCGTCTGCAATCCTATGTATACTACTGCTTGCTTGTTCCTATAAAATTAGAAGAATTTTTAACAATGTAATTTTTTTACATATAAAAAAGTTCAAAATTTATTTGTACATACGGATTTTTCAGAAATACTGGGAGACGAATTATCATCGTCGGAACAGTCGCCTTTTTCTAATACCCTTGGCGTCCTAATGGGTCTAAAAAATAAAGATGTAATTACAGCTTTGTTGGACAAAATTCAAAATAAATTTTTTAAATGGTTAAATACAATACAAGCAAATTTATGGTATTTCAATTACTGTTATATTGTTTGTACAACTAAAACAGTATGTTGAGTTTATGTTCAAAATGTGCTAAGATGTCCCTGGAAAAAATGCATTTATATAACTTTCTATATAATGCTCATCTAATGGAATGTACTTTTCAGTTCCAATCCTGTTTTGTTAATTTGAAAAAAGCAGCAGAAATCCATGCCCCAAAGAAAATGTGTTATGTAGCAAAAAGTGATGCAATCAAAATGTACCATGTAATTATGGTCACTTCAAAACATACTATCTGAATAAAGCATGTATAGAAATAATGAGTACAATAACCATTCTTGGTTCTTATTTCTTAAATTAGTAATTTAACAGAAAAATGAGTAATAGGTCTGTATTAAAAAAGTTTAGATACTGTTATTTTGATAATTTGCAAACTTTGCAAAATATTGTTTTGGCAAAAAGGCATTTTTCCATAAAAATGCTGCTGACAAAATAATAGCAAGTTAGCTGCAATACTTGTTCCTTTTTGTGAGATAGATGCCAAGGAAGGTTACTTAGCAATTGAAAATTTGCAGAAGCCAAAGAACAATTGGAAACATTTATCAAACTCAAAGCGGGAAGCTTAAGAGAAAGGAAAAACAATATTGGTTCCAGGGTCACCCTGTCTGGTTAACTGTTATTATATATTGTATGATCGTAAGATGTATTTTTCTTTCATTGCTGTTTTACACAAACAGATAAGAACAGCACAGATGGATTTTATTTGCCAATACATCAAAATTAAACCCATTAAGAAGTTAAAAAAAAGAAATACTTGTAGCATACAATATTATATTAAAAAGAAAATCTGTCCAAACCATTCAAATTTGCAGATATTCCTGAGAATTCTTTGAGAAAAATCATGCATGTATCTTTCAATTATTGAAAAATTTCCATGGAACCGGCCAGGTTAATATTGTAAATTCAACTATTTAATAGTGTGAATTCATTCTTTTTTGTTTCTTTCATAAAATTATATATATATATATATATACAGTAGAGCATCGTTTATCCGAATCAATTGGGGACTGGGGTTGTTCGAATAACTTATTTTTCGGATAACCGATTATGTACGAAAAATTCATTAACCTATCCCATGTTGAAATTTTTCTCCATTGCATGTCGCTTTGAGTTAAATTCTCGTCGATGTTAAGCCTACTGTAAACAGTGCGGCCAGCTAAAAAACACACATCAACAAAAAAATATTGGAGTAGCCCAAGATATAGCCAAAGATTGCAGCGCCACAGCACTAGCAAAAATTTAAATTTGCCGACTGAAATTCTTTTGGATAACCGACGCTCTACTGTATATAATTTTATGAAAGAAACAAAAAAGAATAACATGTTAAATTGCTGCAATAAAAATGTCAATTGAGGTATGTGATACATAGCACGTGTGTCATGTGATATGCATAAAATTGCATATAAAGTCAAAATATCAAACAAGGATTTCTGAAATTTAGCATAAAAAATCAGTATACAAGCATAGATAATACAGTAACTTCATTTTTAAAAATTGTACAATTAGTAGGGCATAGATAAAAGTTATTTTTCTTTCAAAAATTACTTAAACCTTCATAATTTTGAAAATTGTTAAAAATAAAAATTCAACTCTAATTTTACTTTTCTTTATAAATTTGTATTATTATTTATTAACATTTTGACACTTACTGTGCAAAAGGTAAAAGGACTGCAATAATATTTGCAGCTATTTTAATGAAGACTATTTTTTGAAATAAGAAATAAAGATATCCTATGCACAGTCACATTCTGTACAATTAAAATATGCAGATATACACGCAAAAGCTACCTTGGTCTCACTGATTCAGAAACAAAATATTGAGTAGAATAGACTTATAGAAAAATGAAACAGTAGTCAGAGGGAACATTGATCTTTTAGGGCTTATCATACAGAGACAAATAAAAACTAAAATCTGAATTTGAACATTAAAATAAAATACCTCATTAAATTTTACAATAAAATTCAGCCTATTAATAAATATACATATTTATTAACAGGCTATGAATTTTATTGTAAAATTTAGTTAAGTGTTGTATTTTAATGTTAAATAAAAACCAAAATCTAAAAATTTGATCTCCACATATGATAAGCCATAAGAAAAATAATAGTAAATACATTGGATATTGGAAAAATCTAAAATTGAAAAAATAAAATAGTTTGTGCATTACATAATGCCAAATTACATAGTTTGTGCATTACATAATAAAATAGTTTGTGCATTACATAATGCATTACATAATTTACACCTACACAACAAACAGTATCCAAGAGACTGGCTTTAAGCAGCTTAAACATCAGCTGCTGATTTTCAAAAGATGAAGGTTTCTATTAATTTTCTCCATATTTTAAAATGACCATGCTTTATTTATACATAGTAAGAAAAAATAAATTTAAAAAAATAATTAGATCATTCATAGTTATTTGATTATATAACTAACATTGTTTGCAAAGAATTGTTTTGAATTTAAAAAAATGTCAAGTGAAGTGAAACATTAGGAGTAAAATAAGGTGGTTAGAATAGTCTCTACTACTGTATTTAATTTTTTTTTATATAAGGATATCTTTTAGTTATACAATTTTATTATTTTAGTAATAAACATACTGTACACTGGATGCTGAAGGAAAACAAATGTTTTGTTCTATGAACTGAATTTTTGGTTTTCTAAGTGATATTTATGAATATTATTTTATATTTAAATTTTAAAAACAAGTTCATAAAAACTTGCTTTTTCAACAAATATATATTTTATTATAAAAATCAATTCAAAAAGTGTCTAAGGTCAAAATATAATGTTAAGATAACATGTAGTGAAGATTTTGTTAGTGTTACTTTAATTTTTTTTTATTTCTAAATATGAAACAATTTTACCTTTTATATAACATGTCATCAGGAGAAGGTGGCTCTTCAGGTCCAAGATTTCTATCATCATATGTGTCATCATATTCATCTTCATATAAAGTGTCATCTGTTTCTTCTATGACATCATATTTTTGATATATTTCTCTTAAAGCTGAGGCATTTTTATCTTGTTTTAGAACAATGTTTATATCTAAAAGTTTATCTTCTCTGTAACAATAATTATAATTAACAAACATATGAGTAAGTAAAATCAGGAAATTAAGATTTTTTGAATTTCAGTTTTTTAGATTATTTAATTAATAAAATAATTTTAAAATAAAACAGAATAATAATTATTTTTTTTTTGTAGAACTTACCGTTTGCCTTTATGAATTCTACTTTTATCTATTTTATCAGTTGAAAATACATCAAATTCATCATTATCATATATATTTTTACGACTGGAAAGAATGGACGACTTCCGAGTACTTTAAAATAAAAAGACTTTAAACTTTATTGATGTTTTAAAATACTTTCCACAAAGTCTCAAATAAATATCTAAATACCTTTTCATTGATCTATCCAATTTGTTTAAACTGCTAGGAAGAGTATCATCAAGTAATGCACTAATCACTTTTTCTGCATCATAATTGTAGTATTCTAAACATTGCTGCAAATGTTTTTAATAAACAAATATGACTTATTTATATTAATTTATTATGCATAGTGATGCTGTGCAAAATGACAGTGTGCCAGAGAGACACAAATATACAGTAACTGCACTGTGGATAATTAATAAATACAATGGTAATGGTAAGTCAATTATTCACAGTGCAGGTCAATTTGTGCTTCTATGGCAACACTGTCATTTTGCACAGCATTGATGCTGCTAGGTTATGTCAATTATCACTGCCATTAATCATGGTTATTCTCTTTGTGTACATCAAAGAAGAGCAATAACCAATAAGCTGTTTTTGTGGTCAGAAGGTGTATCAAGGACTGCACTCCAAAGACTTTCAATTTCAAGGCTAAAATTTGCAAATTGAAAGCAAACACTGAGGACTAGTGTTGAAAGGTATGGCATTGATGAATGCCAATGGCCATCTACATACTGCTGCTCACATTGCTGACACCTCTGGAAACTCAAGTTTGAAACAATGACTCATCTACATGATTCTACAGAAGGATGCTTCTGTAGAATCCCAATCTCATCACTTTGGACTATAACATGTTTAGTTCACTCAAAGAGGCATTAAAGGCTATCTATTCATTTAGGACCAAGAAGTGAAGGAAGTGATGAATATGTGGTTTATTGCTCAGCCAAAAATGTTCTATTCTGAGGGCATAAAGAAGCTTGCATAACAATGAACCAAGTGCATGGAAAAGGAAGCAAACCATGTAGCAAAATGATGTTAATGCAAGTTTTCTGTTTGTTTTGAAATAAAGTTTATGGACAAGGATCCAGTCAGAGAACTGGAATAGACCTTTGATATAAAGTGTGCATATTTGTAGGGATAAGAAGTTATATATGCATAATTCTGATGGTTATACAGTAAAAGGTAATAAAGGGAAACTAATGAAGACTACAGTAGAGCATCGATTATCCGACTCAATTGGGGACTCAGGTTGGTCGGATAACTGAAAAAATTGGATAACCGAAAAGAAGGAAAAAATACATTATTAGTATATCCCATGTAAATAGTATATCGCCATTAACCAATTTCGCATTGAATTTTAATCAATGTTAAGCCTAACAATTTAAAAAAATAATAATCGTCGCTATTGTGTCGTTAAAAATTATTTTTAAATTATTTTATTAACCACAAAACAAACAACCACTCATAATTAGAAAATTAAGTCTCGTTTAAATACTGGCCTTCCTTCAATGGTCGAGCTGTGTTGCCAGCTAAAACACGCAAAAATTTAACAAAAATAATATTAAAGTAGCCAAGACATAGCCAAATATTGTAGCACCACATCACTAGCGGACATTTGAAGTTTGCGGACTAGAACGGTCGGTTAACCGATGTGACGGTTAATCGGGGGGGGGGTCGGATAATCGATGCTCTACTGTATTTACAGCTTGAACAGTCTGGTTGATGCTGTCATTATGAATTATGTTCAGCTCTTATGGCATTAAGGTATAATGTGACTGCTCAAGATAGTTATATTTATTTATGTACGTATGTACATAAATAATAATAATAATAAATCTGCTTGCCTCTAAGAACTGGTGGGAACATCAGATTAAAAAAAAAGTCACACAAAAATATTATGGGATTTTCAAATTCAAAGAGATAAGATATTGGCACACAACACACTGGACATTACTATCACTAAAGAGAAACAAATATGGATAATTCACATAGCCATACCAGGTAACAGCAGAATCAAAGAAAAGGAACAGGGGGAGAGGAAATCACAAAATATCAAGATTTGAAGATTGAAATTCAGCAAATCTGGTACAAACCAGCCAAAATACATCTGAGGAGATTGGCACACTAGGTGCTATACCAAAAAATCTCCACCAGCATCTAAAAAACACTGAACATCTGCAAAATCACCACCTGCAAAATGCAAAAAGCTACACTTCTTGGATCTACCAATATCTTACACAATCCTGTATATTACATTAGAATCAAGCTCCTGGGGAGCTTGATTCAAATGTAATCTAATGCCAGTATATGATCTTGTTGCTGTGTTTTATTATTATTATTATTAGGTACTGTTTTGGCTGGTTAATAATATTTATTTGTTCAAACCTTATTATTATTATTCATCTATGATGATGATATATCCATATTTGTTAAAATTCAAACACTTGATTTGTTTACAGCTTGTTCAAGTTATAAATGAACTGTCTACTCATTTCAATATCAAGAATCTTGGACTCTTATCTAAACTCTTAAATAAATTATAAATTTGTAGACTGTATCTATCTATTCACCAAACAATGAACACAGCTACACAGACAAATTAACCAAATTTTATGGATGAAAATTAAAGCATATACTCTGTTAATTGTTGCAAGAACAAGTATATTTAGTAGTTCAGTAGTTATGCTGACCAATTTTGGGTCAGCACTACAGAATATAAAACATTTATATGACAAGTATTATTTCTTGCATCCCATGCACACAAATTTTCAGCATGCTGTAATCATACTATCTAAATTTTATGAAGTGGCCTACAATATACATGGAAGTTGTCCAATGTAGAAATATGAATATCCTTCAAATGAATACATTGCTACTGGGATGACATGTTTATTGTCCCTAAATGTGTGTTTTGCATTCAGCTGTATTGTTAGTATTGAGTTCAGTCTGCTGTTGTGTTCTTTTGTTAGTCTTTATTTGTACATGTTCTGTAGGTTTGGCCTATTGAAATCCTAAATATTTGTAGGATTATTATTATTAATATAACTATTGTGAAAAGTTCTAGTTTATTTATAAAAAGACAATCACTGACAAACTAATCATTTAGTTTAATTATCTAATAACTAATTTGCAAGTAGATATTTACAAATTTATAATCAGAAACTACAAATTACATGTGTGTATTGCATAGTCTGTCATAAATTATTAAATTTTTTTACAAATAAAATCTTAATTTAAAACTACAAACTAAATTTTTAGACAAAATATTATCAAGCATTAAAGCTTAGTTTTTATATCTTAAATACTTTTGTTGCATAATTTCTTAACAGAAAGAACATTCATTAAAGGAAACTGTGCAACAAAATAAATTAATGAATTGTTATACACAGCAAATTTGAATTTATGGGATCCTCCAACAGAAACTGGTATTAATTAGTTTGTGTTCCTAATGAAAATATTTGCATATATGAAAATTAAGATTTATGATCAAGATATATTGAAATAAAAAGGCTGGCAAATGAATCTGAAAAAAATTCATGTTATTAGTAATTTATAAGAATTTGACAAGAAAGTTATAAGAATTTTCAAGTAAAGTATTATTATTATTTAAAAAAAAAAGTGTCCTTAAATTGCTAACTTTTAAATCAGAAAAATAATGTGATTGTATTGAGTTGATGAAGGCATTAATGATATAAAATTATATACAGTATTACATTATTCCTTTGTCTTAAAATAGGATTAAAATCTAATATTTTAACTACATTTTTGCATATACCTGTTTTAAATTTTCATTACTTATAAAATACCAAGATTTGACAAAAAGTTTAGAAAATAGTTATAAAATACCTCTACAAATCCTTCTCCTAAATGACCGAGAACATCTAAAACTTGAGTTACTAAAGAATCCAATTCAACACCTTCCAATTTTGGTGTAGCACAAGCACCATCTAATACTGAATCACTGCATATTTCAGAATTTGGAAGAGATTCTGGAATCTGTATAAAATTTGTTAATTTCATATATACTAAAATAGGTCTTGTTTTACATGGAATTGATGTTCACAAATTTGTCCTTTGTTTACAATAAATGTTAGATTAGCATCACTAAATCTGACTCTTACTAGTTAGTCAGCAAAAATGTTTCTGGTTCTGACATTTCAAACACACAACTACCAAATGCAACTAACTCATTGTGGTTTGCATGTTTTTTTTCTAAAGTTATATATTCTATGATATATATAGAGCAAAATCTTATAATTTCAGAAATATTATACTGAACTGTTATTTATTATCATATAATATTGTAAACGGGATAGTTGTAAATTTTCTAGTGCAATATACCATAAATTTCCAGCAGAAAACTTTAATCAGAAACATTTTTGGCCTTATTTATTTAAAGGCCATCTTTAGGCTACAGAAAATCAAAATTATCAAACTGTTTAATGGCTTTCAATAGAACATATTACAAATTTGAACCAAGTTGACAGATAAAATCTTCTATTTTTGGAACATTTAAGTTTACACCATTTAAAACAGCTGCCAATGAATTAATTAAATACAAAATAAATTAAATAAAAACAAAAATATATGAAATAAATGTATAATAGTTTATAGAGATAAATTGAATGAAACTTACCAAGTAAATGCATTCTATAAGCAACACAAACATCAACCAGTCTTTATGTTTTTATTTATTATATTAGCTATAAATTGAGAATCCCATTGTCTACATCAGTGTCATTCCTTAATAGTTGGTAGATGGAGTGAACAGGATCCATGCAGAATCCTAAGGGCATAAAAGATTCCAATTCTGCACCATATTCAAATATATATGAGCAACAGTCAGGCCTTTAAATGCATGCATAAAGGAACATGAGTAGATTGTAATGAAGGATATCAAAAGATACTGCATTAACAATGCAATAGAACAGAACAGAAGATGCATGTCATCTTATATGCTGCCAAGATAATATGACTAAGCTGGATCCTGAAGAAGCAAAGATATTATCACAACTGAAAATACATGTCTTCGAAACCAACATATGTATAAACTTTTACGGTAAATAGAATATATGCAAGGTGTAGAAGTCAGCTTATATATGAGATTCTGTAACCAACCTAATCATGTAGAACAGCGCTGTCCAACTGGCNAAATTAATTATAATTTTAGTCAATAGATGGCGACATTAACGAACATTAGAATTAAAGTCGGTAAAAGGAAATTCGGTGTTACTTTTGTTTGTTTCTTTTATTGGTTTTTAGACGTAAAATAACCTTATTTTGAATATTTTATAGCATTTTCGGGTGAGAAAATTCGAATTTTTATGATTTTGTCAGAAGAAACACGAACGTTTTTCCTGTCCCACACGAAAGTAACAATGAACTCTCCCTAAATTCGCGTGTTTTGATACGAGATGAAAATCTATACGAGAATTGGGTCATTTTTCAAAAATTGTCCCGAATAATCTTTCTGTTTTCTGAGAAGCTTACAAATACGGTCGAATGATTTGTTGAACCGGAACGTTAAAAATGGACTTTGTTGACGGATCGCATGCAACAAAACTTTGTCGGTATTCTTTCATTCCACTCGGCCGTAACTCGAATGTACAGGTACGAGTAGGTTAGTTAGTAGTACCTGTTCCTTTGTAAGGCGAACGGGTCCTACCTACCTACGTAACGAGTTCTGGCCGTCGTCGAGATGTTTGGATAGAAGAAACACACCCCAAAAAACGTGAGTTTTTATATAAATACAACACTTTTTTAACAATTAAATCGGTGCGGGGTGCATCGGACACTACTCGACATTAATTTACACGCGAATTCTTTTAGTATTTTTACCAAATTTACTGGGATTCTTGCAGGGCCTCGTAGGCGATGCGTCGATCGAGATGTCGTCGACGTTTACGTTTAACGTCACTGATCGTCGCCGTCCCGATCGTCGTCGTCGTTACGGTCATGGTTACGACGATGAAAGGTAACCGCGGAGACGATCCTCGAGTGGACGAAGACGTGATGATCGTGCTGAGAAATGATAAGAGACAAAAAGAATACATAGACAAGCGTGGCATTCACGTCATCGTGGGGCACTACTTAGGAAATTCCCTACCTTGGGAAATTACGCCCAATTTGACAAAAGGTAAATTATCGTCGTCGTCTGTAGGCACCATCTAAATTATAAATTTAAGTATATATATATATATATTTAATTTAGAAATGTTAAACGCAAATAATTACAACCCCATTTGGTCGTTCGGTAGCCGAGGGCAACCCGTTTATTTACCTCAGGTGGATAAACAGAGAGAGAAAACACTTTTTCACATTAATAGATTTAATTTAATGGTCAGCGATGCCATACCCGTTAACAGGACTCTACCGGACGTTCGGAAAGTCAGGTAAGAATCTGGAAATTCCCATTACAATTCCGACACTTTCTAACTTTTACTAAACTCGAGGTGACCCAAAAATCGGCCGGCCTTCGAAAGACAATTATATCGAAATCATAATTAACCATAACTTTTTTTAAATGTGGCATTTCCGGCTGTATATGGAGCGATCAAAAGACGGCTGACTTCTGGACCGTGGCGTAAATTAATTTGGAAATTAATTGCAAATCTCCTTAAGTTTCTATTAATTTAACCACAATCTTAATCGACAAAAGAACCAAAGAAAGATTTTAGTTGCAGAGAGAAGAGATATTCGGGTTTGGAATCCCAAGACGTTACCATCGTCATAGTCTTTCATAACGAAGCATGGTCGACCCTCCTGCGAACGGTGCACAGCATCATCAGCAGATCTCCGAAGAGGCTGCTGAGAGAAATCATTTTAGTGGACGACGCCAGCGAAAGGAGTAAGTGTAACGCGTCCGAAGATCTGTCGCCCGGTGTCATTTTTTATTTAAATTACCGCAGGTTTTCTCAAAAGGCCGCTGGACGAATACGTTTCTAGTTTGCCCGTAACCACCAAAATCGTTAGGGCCAAAAACAGGACGGGGCTGGTGAGAGCCAGATTGTTGGGCGCCCGTCGAGCCAAGGGCAAGATTCTAACCTTCTTAGACGCTCACTGCGAGTGCACCAAAGGATGGTTGGAGCCTCTAGTTGCCAGGATAATGGAAAACAGGCGAGTTTCCACGAAATCTTAAGCATTATATTCTTACAGAAGAACCGGTACGATACAATAAACGCGCACGTAACTTTGTAAACGTGCGTATACTAGCGGTACGCACGTTTACAAAGTTACGCGAATACCGCTAGTACGATAACTTACCGACGGATATTTAACGAAATAAACGGGGACCAAATTCTCACGCCAGTGTCCGCTTTCTATCGGGGTATTTCTGGAAAAAGGAAGTTCAATTTATGTAAATCCTAAAAATCCTCTTTAGACTCGTGCCGCAAACCTCCACGCTCGACCTCTCCAATTCTGAACGAAGTCGGAAGGGATCGACCCAGATACAAAACAGTACCTCCGAACGTTTTGTATTTTCCCATATAGATACCTCCATGTGGAGATCGTTCCACTTTTCACGCGCACCTGGCACGAATAGACTGTTCTCATATTGCGCGTCATTGAAGCGAGCACGCATTTTCAAATTTGGTGACGGGACATGTTTCCTGCGAAATCGGCGGTGTTAGTCACATTTTTCAGCCTAATTTTGCATTTGTACTTTAGCAACCTACGACTTCTGAAGCGTGGTTATCCTCTGTTGATTGTTACGCGGGTGTCGTCATTGGCATAAAGTGAGAAGCCTCGATCTTCTCAACTTGCAGATATGCGCTTAAGCAAAAATAATGCCTTACCAGTTTTGAAGAGCGAATATCTCCAAATGGGTCTACTCGGATTTCGAAATATTCCATATTGCGCTTGTTTTTTATTCGTTAGATATATCAACTTTCAACATTGTATGGTGTATTTTTTGTTTCTTAAGTATAATAATGGAAGAAGAGCGGTGCACAATTGGAATCGTGGTCCCATCCAACGATCCTAGTCGGGGGTCCCGCTTTAGGATGTGGGGGACACGATTGGAATCAAAGGTGTCAGAAAGTGTCAGGCACATCAGCGCATTACTTAGAAAGAATAGATTGAAGTTTGGTAAGGATTATTCAAATGAAGAGCAGACTTTAATAAGCAGATTTTAGAGAAAATTTGTTTATATTACGAGGTCTTGTTTTTCACAAAAAAGAAAAGAAACGAAAAAAGTATTTATTGTGACATCGTCACAATGCTGAACTGTAATTTTTAATTTATTTAATTTAAACTATATGTTCTCCATCTGAAATTAGTAGTGTCTTGCCCCTATACATCATACTTTTCCTGATAACAACAGAGTCGCGCCGGTCAGCTATGTAACTCCATTCGGAGGAAATTTTCGAATTGAATTCACGTGATTTCCGATGTTAATCGAAGCCTCCTTCCCTCGAGCTTTCCATATCTGGTCTCGAGTTTCGTCTATCTAACACCGTTTTCAAGATTAAGGAAGGACAGACTGACGGACGACAATGGGAATTTATAGGTCTATGAATTTTTTTCAAATTGCAGCCCAATGAAACGTGATTATGCAGTAAATAAAACTGCACATTCTGGAGGCTTTAAAATTAATGAAATACATTTTTAGTAAAATTTAAAGTATGATTTTTGTTTAAGCTGATCTAGCAACATACAAAGTTAAAAATTTCAAAACGCTCAGGACAGACAAATTTTGACTTCAGTTTCAGAGTGTAAGGCTAAGTTTATGCAGACGAGAGAAAAAAACGGGCGAAAGAGAACTTTTGGAATCAGAATTCGCACACTCCATGCAGTTTATGCAGAAGAGGGAAACGGATTTCCTGCGCGTTACGCGCGAGAAACGCATTGGTTTCCTCGTCCTCGAAAGTTGAACTCGTATTTTCCCCTCCTTTTGTTTCAAACGTACACTAAGTTCGGCAACCCGGCTTCCACGCAACGACGATGATTAAAAGACAACGATGGAGCACGCCGGCAATCCGTCGAAGGTAAAGAAAATGGTCCGAGAAGTTACAAAATAAACACAGGGAGGACATATAATAAAATGTTAATAGAGTAGTTTGGTTTATTTTCCTTTAGCATTATATTGTTGTAAAATTCATCGGACTTTTCCTTACCGCTTTACTCTAGTTTAATATTTCACTTCGAATGGTAAGAGAAGCTCGAATGCTAAAAACAGAAGTGTGGATGCTCGTTGTCTCTTCCAAAAATGCATAGAATACTGTCAGGTGGTGAGGTGTCCAGATGGAAAATTTTACGATGCGTTCTCACGTCTCTGTCCCGGGAAAGGAGGCTTTCTATCGATGAGAATTAGAGAAGAAGAAAAAATTCACCGGCAGAAGCGCCCAATTCTTTGCAACTTAACTTTATGCCGGATATCGCGAGAAATACGGAGTTAATAATAAGTTTTGTGGGCTTTGTTCTAAATCGTGTGGCAGTAAGATCTTCGGGAAGACATTCTGCGCGCGTCTGTAGTGTTCGTCAGTACGTTACGCTAATGCCAGTTGTGACAGAATAAAAGAATTGCATGCTTCACAGATGCGAAGTGTCCAGGCAACGAAAATCCCGAGAAAGTTGACCGAGCAGCTCGCGGACTACGATCCAGAGAAGGTTATTGAATTTAAGCAGAAATGAGAACTTTGACCACTAAAGAATTTTCCATCGAGCTGGCTGACCAAATATTTATTTCGATAAGCCATCGTTAAGAGTAAAAGGAGAAATTTAAAATATCAATAGATGATTTAGTCATTCTGATGGACTTTGCTGAGAACTGCCCTTTCGTTGTAAAAGATCACACTAAGAAAATAGACGACAGTTGTTGCTGGGCACAATTTTTTTGGGAAAAGCCATTTTGTATCTCAAAGAGCGTTTTGCAGGCCTGAAGTACGTATATTATTTCGGTGATGGATCGACGGGTCAGTAGAATTTTACGAACTTTGTAAATTTGTATATTCGAGCCGAGTGGAAGATTTTGCCACAAGTCACGGTAAGTTATCCCGCTACGGTATCCACAGAACTATTAAACGATTAGCAAGAAAAGCTAGTTTGCAGCTATCGATAAATCACAGGGTTAACCATAAAAATAACGATGGTGTTAAGGCTTTCTTTGTACCCAAGAAAAGATGTTGAGACAAGCAAGCTATGCCGAAATTGTAGGAAGGCGGGATAATTGCCAATTTAATCCTATTAGAAATAACCGATTCGTGTAGCAGTTTTAGATGATACGATTTCATTTATTTCAAAACTTTTTATTGATTAGGAAGCCGTTCTAGATTTGAAAATATCTGACCACAGTCCCAGCCAGTGTGTCGCTGGTGTTTACGACGGTTATAATGGATGGATCTAACCACGGTCTCGGCTTAACCCTTCCACTGGCCAGCTAGGAACGATACAGTGCTGGGTGATAGTACACCACATAATTGATGTTCTTCCAGTTCCTGCAAGGCAGACAGTAAAGTTACAGGCAGTAGTGTTAATATTAAACTTATTTTAACACCGTCGGAGTAGACCTTTATATTGGCTTAGGAACCAGGATTAAGTAACTCATTACCCGTGCCTGGTTTTGGATCGGGAGTGGCCCCTCGACCACGAGGTTGCTAATTCATTAAATTGGTAGTTGCAGGAACCACGGAACAAACATTACGGATCAGAGTATCAACCGTCAGAAAAATACAATTCGAATACCTATTGTCACCGTCCGAAACTATTTTTCGGGAGAAGAGACCGCCATGTGGAGATCGTTTCGATGCGAGAAAGTACAAAACGCTCGGATGTAGTATTTTGCAGATTTTAAGACCATTACCGTGGAGTTTGAATTCGGAAGGGGTTCGTGCGGTTGACGCGGAATGATCTTTAAACGGGACTTTTACGTTTTGAATCTTAAAATAACGAGGAAAGGACGTCCTTTTGTTACAGGAAAACCGTAGCCTGTCCCGTGATAGACGTCATTCACGACGAGACCTTCGCTTACGTCAAAAGTTTCGAACTGCACTGGGGAGCTTTCAACTGGGAACTTCACTATCGCTGGTATCCCATCGGAAACAGGGAGCTGAAGAAGCGGAGCGACGATCCCTCCAAACCCTTCAGGTAAGCCGCCGTGGTAACGTCCAGGCGCGGGTAAGAAAATAATGTTTGGACTTTGTTTTCAGGACGCCCGTCATGGCCGGAGGTCTGTTCGCCGTCGACAGGTCTTACTTTTACGAAATCGGAAGCTACGACGAACAAATGGACATCTGGGGAGGAGAAAACATCGAAATGTCCTTCAGAGTCGGTAGCGGGCGGCGGGGAGGATCCCGGAGAGGCGCGACGTAATTAAAACGGCGTTTTCTTTCGTCAGGTGTGGCAGTGCGGAGGAAGCGTGGAAATCGTCCCCTGCTCCCACGTGGGTCATCTATTCAGAAGGTCGTCTCCCTACACCTTCCCTCGACCCGGAGGAGTGGCCGCCGTCCTCTACTCCAATTTGGCCAGAGCGGCCGAAGTGTGGATGGACGAGTGGAGTAACTTCTACTTCAAAACCAATCCCGGTGAGCGCGCTTATCACTGGCACCCAGCCTTGTTCTTGGCAGAGACCGGATTAATTTTCCTTTGTTTTCAGACGCGGCAAAAATCAGGAAATCCATCGACGTGACCAGTCGAAAATCGCTGAGACGAAGACTGGGATGCCACGACTTTCGCTGGTATTTGACAAACGTCTGGCCCGAACACTTTCTCCCCGACGACGACAGATTCTTCGGAAAGGTGCGATTTATATAAATTCTCCGTGGGCCCGCGGTAAACTCTTCCGCCAATTCGACGACCGTCGCTGCACTCGTCCTACCACCTTCAACCACGCGTCGTTTACATGGGCGTAGCCAGAGTTTTGTTATGGGGGGCCTAGTGGAGGCCAACCTGACACAAAATTGAATTATTTCAAATTATTGTTCATTATTGGGCACCGAGCAAGCCGTTCACCTTTTTTTTAGTATTCAAAACTTTTATTTTAGCTTTAGGTGTTTACAAATCGACTCAACACTTTTTCGGCTGTGATTTCCTGGGGGGGCACCAGGTTCCCTGGGAGGGGCCGTGCCCACCCAGGCTCCCCCCTCGCTACGCCCATGCTCGTTTATCGAAACGAATCTACTTTATTTACTTATATACAGGGTGCTTCAAAAAAATGTATACACACTTTGAACTANTATTAAAATTATTTTACTACCGTGTTTCCCCGAAAATAAGACAGTGTCTTATATTAATTTTTGCTCTGAAAAATGCGCTAGGTCTTATTTTCAGGGAATGTCTTATTTTTTCCAGGAAGAAGAATTCACGTTTATTATTAAACAAAAAAATTCCCAAGTCGAACTTGGATGAGAGTGACGTATATCCGGTGTGTCGAACTGTCGCCTTTTTATAGCGTCAACATCGGACTCGCTGACCAATTAGTGCTTACTGAACCGTAGCAGTATGCAAATGTCATGTGGTTTATCAACCTTCTTGGTCCCCGAAATGTTTGGTGAAGAAAATATGGCCCGCGGGCTATGATAAGTTGGACAGCGCTGATGTAGAACACTGTTTCCCAACCTGTGAGATGAATACCTTAAGATATGCAAAACACTTTCAAAAAAAGTATGCAGAAATACATGTGAAATGGTTGCAAAATTGAATTTTCAATTAGTATGTTTTCAATTTATACTTATGCCATTTAAATTTTCTACACTCAAATCTTTAGAAGTTGGTAACTTGAATGCTGTAAGAAAATGGAGTGAAAATCAAGACCAGAAAGCTTGGGGCAGGAGGCCCTTTCTATATGTGATCTTGTTCAGACCAAAAGTTGTTAGTTCAATTCAAAAATTTTCTTCTGAGTGGATTTAGATAACAATGGAATCATGCTGGTTACCTAACAGGAAAAATATGATGTACAGTACAGGGAAAAGACTACTAAATTGAAAGCAGTGTTGAAAAATTGCAGACTGGCATTGTGACAAATGTCACAATAAATAATTGCACATTTTAATTCAATTGTTTTAATTCAGTGCTGTAGTACTTTCAGTTCCAAATTAACAATTAAAACTCATTGATAATGTAGCAGTTATTAAGTTTTATCCACTAATTTAATAATTAGTTAAATAAACTTTCCAATCCACCATAAAGTAAATAAACACATTATGATGTTTAGAATTTATGAAAATCTATGTACCCCTTTTCATGAAAGGGGTACTTAGATGTTACACATTAGTGGTTCCAAATAAGATTTGGAACCACTGATGTGTATGATGAGATTCCCAATTTATAGATAATATAATAAAAAAAAGCATATTGATTTTGGTTAATATTGGTATAGCTTATACTTTGATATAGATTATATTATAGCTTAATTTGGTTAATGAATTTACTTGGAAAGCTATATTCAATTTGTTATATGTGTAAACTACTGTATATACAGCCAAATAAATGTTCTACAGTAAGACTCCTCTTAATACGGGGGATGCATTCCTAGACAACAAAGCACTAAACGAAATAGTGTTAAATGAGATCATTTTAACAGAGTAAATAGGGATAGGGGAACATGCGACCAAAAAATTAAAGTAAATTTTTTAAATTTAAGTCATTTTTATATTAATTTNACACACATCAACAAAAAAATATTGGAGTAGCCCAAGATATAGCCAAAGATTGCAGCGCCACAGCACTAGCAAAAATTTAAATTTGCCGACTGAAATTCTTTTGGATAACCGACGCTCTACTGTATATAATTTTATGAAAGAAACAAAAAAGAATAACATGTTAAATTGCTGCAATAAAAATGTCAATTGAGGTATGTGATACATAGCACGTGTGTCATGTGATATGCATAAAATTGCATATAAAGTCAAAATATCAAACAAGGATTTCTGAAATTTAGCATAAAAAATCAGTATACAAGCATAGATAATACAGTAACTTCATTTTTAAAAATTGTACAATTAGTAGGGCATAGATAAAAGTTATTTTTCTTTCAAAAATTACTTAAACCTTCATAATTTTGAAAATTGTTAAAAATAAAAATTCAACTCTAATTTTACTTTTCTTTATAAATTTGTATTATTATTTATTAACATTTTGACACTTACTGTGCAAAAGGTAAAAGGACTGCAATAATATTTGCAGCTATTTTAATGAAGACTATTTTTTGAAATAAGAAATAAAGATATCCTATGCACAGTCACATTCTGTACAATTAAAATATGCAGATATACACGCAAAAGCTACCTTGGTCTCACTGATTCAGAAACAAAATATTGAGTAGAATAGACTTATAGAAAAATGAAACAGTAGTCAGAGGGAACATTGATCTTTTAGGGCTTATCATACAGAGACAAATAAAAACTAAAATCTGAATTTGAACATTAAAATAAAATACCTCATTAAATTTTACAATAAAATTCAGCCTATTAATAAATATACATATTTATTAACAGGCTATGAATTTTATTGTAAAATTTAGTTAAGTGTTGTATTTTAATGTTAAATAAAAACCAAAATCTAAAAATTTGATCTCCACATATGATAAGCCATAAGAAAAATAATAGTAAATACATTGGATATTGGAAAAATCTAAAATTGAAAAAATAAAATAGTTTGTGCATTACATAATGCCAAATTACATAGTTTGTGCATTACATAATAAAATAGTTTGTGCATTACATAATGCATTACATAATTTACACCTACACAACAAACAGTATCCAAGAGACTGGCTTTAAGCAGCTTAAACATCAGCTGCTGATTTTCAAAAGATGAAGGTTTCTATTAATTTTCTCCATATTTTAAAATGACCATGCTTTATTTATACATAGTAAGAAAAAATAAATTTAAAAAAATAATTAGATCATTCATAGTTATTTGATTATATAACTAACATTGTTTGCAAAGAATTGTTTTGAATTTAAAAAAATGTCAAGTGAAGTGAATTGCGACATTTATGGATATTACATGTACTTTATAGAAAGTTGCACGAATTTCTGTGGGTGTAAAGATGCTGTTGCTTCTGATATGTGGAGTGTTTGCCTATGGATGTAGGAGTGTAACTTAAATATCTCCTTCGGTTTTCACCTGTTTTCACATTTTTATACCTGCAAACAATACTACCATGTTGTAAATTCCAGTCTCCTGCAACTCTGTGGCATATTGAGAAATAAAGTTCTGATATGGTGATTCCAGTAAGATGAGACAAAAAGGAGTTTGTACCAAATTGGAAAGACAAAGAAGTGTTGATGAAAGTTAAGATATTTATGATGAATCTGATTGAAAGATTTAGAGAGATCACAATACATGTACTTTCTAACAGTTAGGCATTTAAGTGATATAGTTGATAAGATTAAAACAGCAATGCTTTGCATATTATGGTACAAAAAAAGTTCGCTTAATCTTCTGTACACATTTAAGTGAGCAATGGGTAATTACGTAAGTCTTTCTTACAAAAACAAATGTATGAATGCTTAAATTTTTTCTAAATAATCCACTTACTGATGATGATCATTTATTTTTACATCAGCATTCCTGAAGTAATTTAAACTTAATTCTAAAATTGCTTTACATCCCATTATGGAGCAAAAACATTCCTTAGATAAAGAATATCTACTGGATACTAAACTAAATGTTATGTATGTATTTTTATTCAAGTTTTACCTTTAACATCGTGATGTCTCCTCATTTCCTGAATTCTTTCTTCTTCTTTCTTCCGCAATTCTGCTGGATTTGCAACAAATTCGTCTGCAATCCTATGTATACTACTGCTTGCTTGTTCCTATAAAATTAGAAGAATTTTTAACAATGTAATTTTTTTACATATAAAAAAGTTCAAAATTTATTTGTACATACGGATTTTTCAGAAATACTGGGAGACGAATTATCATCGTCGGAACAGTCGCCTTTTTCTAATACCCTTGGCGTCCTAATGGGTCTAAAAAATAAAGATGTAATTACAGCTTTGTTGGACAAAATTCAAAATAAATTTTTTAAATGGTTAAATACAATACAAGCAAATTTATGGTATTTCAATTACTGTTATATTGTTTGTACAACTAAAACAGTATGTTGAGTTTATGTTCAAAATGTGCTAAGATGTCCCTGGAAAAAATGCATTTATATAACTTTCTATATAATGCTCATCTAATGGAATGTACTTTTCAGTTCCAATCCTGTTTTGTTAATTTGAAAAAAGCAGCAGAAATCCATGCCCCAAAGAAAATGTGTTATGTAGCAAAAAGTGATGCAATCAAAATGTACCATGTAATTATGGTCACTTCAAAACATACTATCTGAATAAAGCATGTATAGAAATAATGAGTACAATAACCATTCTTGGTTCTTATTTCTTAAATTAGTAATTTAACAGAAAAATGAGTAATAGGTCTGTATTAAAAAAGTTTAGATACTGTTATTTTGATAATTTGCAAACTTTGCAAAATATTGTTTTGGCAAAAAGGCATTTTTCCATAAAAATGCTGCTGACAAAATAATAGCAAGTTAGCTGCAATACTTGTTCCTTTTTGTGAGATAGATGCCAAGGAAGGTTACTTAGCAATTGAAAATTTGCAGAAGCCAAAGAACAATTGGAAACATTTATCAAACTCAAAGCGGGAAGCTTAAGAGAAAGGAAAAACAATATTGGTTCCAGGGTCACCCTGTCTGGTTAACTGTTATTATATATTGTATGATCGTAAGATGTATTTTTCTTTCATTGCTGTTTTACACAAACAGATAAGAACAGCACAGATGGATTTTATTTGCCAATACATCAAAATTAAACCCATTAAGAAGTTAAAAAAAAGAAATACTTGTAGCATACAATATTATATTAAAAAGAAAATCTGTCCAAACCATTCAAATTTGCAGATATTCCTGAGAATTCTTTGAGAAAAATCATGCATGTATCTTTCAATTATTGAAAAATTTCCATGGAACCGGCCAGGTTAATATTGTAAATTCAACTATTTAATAGTGTGAATTCATTCTTTTTTGTTTCTTTCATAAAATTATATATATATATATATATACAGTAGAGCATCGTTTATCCGAAAGTCGGTTATCCGAAACGTCAGTTATCCGAAAGAATTCCAGTT